TTTTTTTTTTTGTTTTTCAGTTCTTGCTTATGAATCATATGCATTGCGGTTATCAGTTTCTGCACTCAATTAGAGTTGGTACACTGCTGAAAAGAATATAAGTTCCCCAAAAAGAGAGGCGAAAGGAATTATATGTGCTTAATTTGGTTTTGCTTTTTCTGGAACTTTACCATGTCGAGAATTTTAGCAGAGGCCGAGGGTATTTGATTTGTTATTGTTGTTGTTTTTTAACTTTTGAAATACTTTCGTTTAAGAAACAATTTATAACTTTTATGAGACGAAACGAAACATGCTGGCAAAACAGTGATACAGTGACCAACAGGGGTTGACCCAAGTGTTAAGTAGCTTGATGTCGCTTAAGCAAGGTCTCGGGTTCGAGTCCTTGTGAAAGCAGAAAACCCTTGTTGGGAGACTCACCCACCACTGCCAGGTGTGCGACCCGAGTCGACCAACGGATTAGTCGAAGCAAAGTTTTGGATACCGTGGCTGGCTATCAAAAAGAGTGATACGATGATGAATGAAAAATTCAAATACAATTATGGGAAATTTTTATTTTATCTGACATGAAATTGAAAATTTTGCAAATCTACAATCCATAAACAAGTAATTGTGTTTCTACCTAATTGTCAAGATTTAATTACATTAATACCTAAAATTCAGTTTCCTAAAAAGTGGACTCATAAGTTCCAACATTACCAAACAAAATTTAGTTACCTAAAATTTAGTTACATTTAGTTATGAGAATTGGATTTCGGTTATTTTCAGTTTATATTTTAGAATAAGCAAGATATTGCAAAGGTGCCTTTCGGCAGAAATTGGAGTTTTGAAAATCAAAATGTGATCCTGCAAGAGTGGAAAGAAGGGTTAAAGGGCACCAATGCGTGCTTTGAAAAGATTAACCTATAGGTTCAATTCCATAATGTTCCGTTGAATTGGTTGTATACTAGAGTAGGGTTAAAAGTCGGAAGGATGTTTAAGGGAGTTAAGAATGTGAATATAGCTAGAGCTGGAGCGCAAGGTAGGAGAATTATCACGATTCTTGCTATATTGAGCCTATCAGATATTATCCCTAGATTGGCTAATATAAGATTGGGAGGAACTGTGGTCACAATCCATTTTAAGTACGAAAAATTGGTCAGTTTATGCTTGTAGTGTAGAAGAATAAGACATCTTGACAGAAGTTGCAGTAAGAGATTGGAGGGATTGAGAGAAATGAGCTCAAGTAAGGACAATATGGAGATTGGTTGAAGGCATTAGAAGGAGTACAGTGGACTGATTCACCCACATCGAGAGTACTTAGTCCAAGGAAAATTCTTCAGGAAAGGAAAGAGAGTTTAGAGGTTCCACTAGAAAAGATGATAGTCAGAATAAAGGGTCTAAACTATTGCTCAATTTGAGTATGGTGGAATTCTAGACTCTCTCAAATCAAGAGAAGTGATGACTGATGAAGGAGACCGAAGACGGGGATAAATTGCATTTTATTTGTTCTAAGTTACATAATATAGGCGAGGAGACAATGTCAGAAGAAATGGACATGGTCCAGGCTAAAGGAAGACAAGAGATTCCACACAACACTTTAAAGGAAGCCAAACAGACCAGAACTTAGTAAAAATGCAGGTAAAGAGGGAAGGCTCCTCAGATGTTTAGGACCATATATTATTGAAATATTCTTTGATTTTAGGGTAGAAATGAGAGAGAGAGAGAGAGAGAGAGAGAGAGAGAGAGAGAGAGAGACGAGTCTTTTCCTAGTCTGATTGAGATTGAAGGAAGATTGATTGAACTTAGAAAGTTCGGGCCTAATGGTGTTAGGAAATGAGCATGAGTAAGAAGAATGCAAAATTTAAGGGAATCTTGCTGGAGGAAGCAAGCTAGAAGTGGCCCAAATGGACCAACGAGAGCTGTCGTGTAGAACTGTAGAGGTCTGAGTGGACCTTCTACAGTTCTCTAATTGCGAGAGGCAATTGTGTCTCTTATCACCCCCATTTTGTATTTTTCTGTAAGGTAATAAAGAAAATAATTTCAAAGTTTGTAGTAAACTAGGCTTTGATGAAAGGTGGTATTATTAGGAGCCGACGAATTCTGAAAGGGGGCTTTTTCTTGTCTTGGGGGAAGGAGGTTGAAATTGTGAGCTTGTATTTTGTATTCAAGTACAGTTTAAAACAAGAGATACCTCTACCCCTGAGTGGACCATCTTTGTGTATTTGAGTACAATTAAGCATGAAAGTGAGATTCAATAGTTGTTCTTAGAAGAGGAAAAGTGAATTTAGCGGGGAAGGGGGGGAATGGGGATGGGGTGGGGATTGGGTTTTGATAGGGGATTGGAATGACTTAAGTTGTAACGAGGAGAAGCAAGATGGCAGAATTAGATTAGAAAGAAGCTTTTACGGCTTCTATAACTATTTCTCACATGGGGATGTTTCTTCCAAGTATGGAGGATGCCAGTTTTACCTAAGGTAATAATAGGGAAGAGGAAGGCAATGTGGTTAAGTGTTAGACAAAGCTTTTTTCTCTCTCAATTGGATGAAGAAGCACCCTCAGGCTAAGGTGGAGAATACCTGCAGAAGTGCTTCAGACCATGGTTTGCGGGTCTGAAAATGTTGAGTCGGGTTAGAGATACAAAATAAGTTGAGTTGTAAGATTGAATTGTGTAGGTGAATGAAAGAGAAATGATTTTTAATTTTTCGGGCTTTTTTTTTTGTGTTGGATTGGAGATAAAAAAAAATGTCTAAGAAAAGAGAATATGTATACAATCTTGTAATAAAACTCTACCCTCTATTTGATGTAGGGAAAGCGTACGAGTGGAAAGGATAAAATGAGTAAACGAAATACTCTCTCGTAAAACACGTAAAACTCACAAACTCAATCAATTCTTATTTCATATTCAACTGCTCCATCATTCCATCAAACACTGATAATAAATAGAGTTCCTAACGTGATAAACAAGAAATAAATATTCTCCTAAGATTCTCCTAACCACTTCAATAAGATAAATAAGAGATAATAATAATAATAATAATAATAATAATAATAATAATAATAATAATAATAATAATAATAATTAACTATCCTCATCATTCTCCCCTGGTTGAGCAGGATTCGGCCTCGAATCCGACCCGTTTCCGTTGGAGTCGTCTCCATGACAAGAATATCCCCGACATTTCCCTCGATCGAACACGAATGTTGAAGGTCTATCAACAACCTCAAACATAAACAAAATCTCGATCAAGGACTTAATTGCTGCGAAGGCACATGTAGACGTCACCATTCGCAAAGCCGACACAGCTGAAATAGTACCATAACAACGGCCAAGCATCCCGTTGTTGGGAGACTTCACGATACGCAATAGGAAAATAGCCCACCAGTCATTGAGCATCGGCGTCGGCTTCTAAAAAACATCCTTGGCCAAAATACTCAAAAAATCTGGTGTGAATGACGACTTCCCATTCGAAGACTTAATCGGTGCAACATTCCATGCGGGACCCATCTTACTGCAAAAATATGTTGTCGTCACCGGAGGCTCCTCA